GTTGACGTGGTTCAAAGTTATGCAGTAACATGCATAAAAAAAAAATTCCGACGAATTGATAACCTTCTCCTTTCTTAGAAGTCGGCTAAAAACTATTGAAACAAATAACAAAATGATAAAAGAGTAACGAAAACAAAAAACTATCGCATGAAAGCTGTTTAAAAAGTACTTAATGAAAACCTTAAATTGGTGACACCATTCCCTAGCAATATAAATCAGTTAACTTTTACTCGTAAACAATTTCATCTGGGTCGTCATAGCCTACTACGTATATTGCGAGTAAAGAAATTTTGAATAACATGAGANTTGACACCTTTGCCTAGCAATATAAATCAGTTAACTTTTACTCGTAAACAATTTCATCTGGGTCGTCATAGCCTACTACGTATATTGCGAGTAAAGAAATTTTGAATAACATGAGATAAAGTTATTATGATTTTGATTATCATTACTATTGTGAACTCCTATTCCCGATCAAGGAACCCCAAATTAAAGCATAAGCAGAAGGGCATCTACGATCGCATGATGCAAATGTTAAGATAATAAGAGCTGCAGAACTGAACCATGTAGGACAGTGGTGGATCCAGCGGGGGGATTTTGGGTGTTAAACTACGTGTCTGTCAGTGGCGGACGCACGGGGTGTGTTTTAATATGACACGGGGTGTGTTTTAATATGACGCATATCTATGTATAGCGTCTCTGTATTAAAACACCCGCCCCGTGGGTCCTCTACTGACTGACACGTAATTTAACCACCAAAACCCCCGCGCTGATCCGCGCCTGATGTAGGAACATTTTTACAAGGGCGTGTAATTTATGGCATGTGCCGATGACATCGACATCATCGGTAACAAAAATCGCGAAGTCTCTTCGGCCTTTTCCAAGCTGGATAAGGAAGCAAAGCGAATGCGCCTGGTGGTAAACGAGGACAAGACGAAGTATATCAGTCACCGCGTTCGCGCCTTGGAAACCACGTCACTGTTGACAGTTATAATNTACAAGGGCGTGTAATTTATGGCGTGTGCCGATGACATCGACATCATCGGTAACAAAAATCGCGAAGTCTCTTCGGCCTTTTCCAAGCTGGATAAGGAAGCAAAGCGAATGCGCCTGGTGGTAAACGAGGACAAGACGAAGTATATCAGTCACCGCGTTCGCGCCTTGGAAACCACGTCACTGTTGACAGTTATAATTTCGGGAATGTGGAGAATTTACTAGGGAACCAGCATTATCAACGATAAAAATATCAGCATGGAAAACCCGCACAGAATTACTCTTGCCAACAAGTGCTATGGACTGAGTAGGCAATTCGGGAGTAAAATCCTTTCTCGACGTACAAAAACCGCACTCTATAAGTCACTCATCATGCCCGAGCTGTTATAAGCCGCAGAAGCTTAGACAGTGACAACTTTCGATGAGGCAGCTCTTGGAATATTCGAGAGAAAGATTTTGCGGAAGATTTACGGGCCTTTTCGCGTTGGCGACGGCGAGTACCGCAGACGATGGAACGATGAACTGTATGAGCTTTACAACGACATGGACATAGTGCAACGAATTAAAGTACAGCGGCTCCGCTGGCTTGGCCATGTCGTTCGAATGGACACCGACGCTCCAGGTGTAAAAGAATTCAACTCGCAAGCCGCTGGTGGTAGCAGACGAATAGGGTGCCCCCATTGCAATGTAGAGACTAAGTTCCCACAGAGAGAAATTACTGGCGGCCTTTGTCGAGCTTGGCCAAAATGGCTTAGGCGGTTTCAAAGCCAAAGTAGAAGAAAAATATGCAAATGATAAATGACGGAGTTGGGAGACCATTTTCTTGGATACGCCAGGAGGAACTAGGAAAATCTTCCTTATCAGATGGATTCTGGCAACGGTTCGATCAAAAAATTACATTACCTTAGCTATCGCTTCGTCTTGAATAGCTGCGACATTGTTACCAGGTGGAAACATTGCCAATTCAGCTCTTGAGCTGCCATTGAACATATAAATCATCGAAACTCCCACGTGCAATCTTTTCAGAGCATCCGGTATGGAAAAAGGTTTACAAAAATTTTAACTCATTGTTTGGGATGAGTGCACCATGACCCTTAAAAAATCGCTTGAGGTCGTTGATCGATAGTTGCGAGATTTGTGTGGAAATGTTCAACCATTCCGGAATGCACACTAGCGGACGAGATAAATGCTTGCCTGAAATAGTCAACATTGCGACAAGACGAACATACATACACTGCAGCTGAAGTATTTGCGCGACAATAACTGGACATTGGGAACGGAAAGCTGCCAGTCAATGAGAGATTAAGCCCAAAATACAATAACGCAGTGGCAGTGGCAGCGGCAGTTTTTCGAAATCAGCTGTTTTTTTTAGAAAGTGTTTTGTCCAATGAAGCGACTCACAATACAGTAGTGGCAGCTAGCAGTACTGCTCAGTTTAGCCCAAATTCTAAATTNCGTTCAACCATTCCGGAATGCACACTAGCGGACGAGATAAATGCTTGCCTGAAATAGTCAACATNTGTTCAACCATTCCGGAATGCACACTAGCGGACGAGATAAATGCTTGCCTTAAATAGTCAACATTGCGACAAGACGAACATA